AGGGGCTCTGCCACGCTCCGGGCCGGTGCCGGGGGGCTGCGAGCGGGGCTGGTTCCCGACACACCGCTCTCTTCAGCCTGCCGGTCCCTTCCCGTGTTCAGTGCCCACCAGGAGCTTCTCCGGTGCTGAGCAGGTCCACCGTCCTCGCAAGAGGAGTTTGCCTCTCGCTCCCAACCCAGCAAATCCTGTTGTGCCCTCACAAGGAGCGTTTTGGTGGTCATAAACCCTTTTCTATTAACAAGCGGCTGCGGGCGCTGCCTTCGGCTGCCTGCAGAGCATCCTCCTCCCCGCCACGGCCCCCCGGGAGCCACCGCTGTCACTGCGAGCGGCTGCAACGGCTCGAGTCGTGGGCAGGACAAACCCTGTCTGTGTCACACATGCTAGTCAGAATTAAACTCTCAGGTCTTGCATAATTAGCTGTGATTCTGCCCGCGACGTTAGGCACGATTTCCTTGGGCTGTGGTGCGGCGGCGCCCTGGGTGCTCCCAGCGCTGGGCTCGGCCAGGAGCTGCCTGCGTTACTGAGGGTAACGTTTCCAAAACGGGCTGAGTGATGTATGAACGAGGGTTTACGCTGATTTTCAGCAAGTTGTCCTCTCAGTCACAGTGTAGCGGGCGCTCCCGCTTTGCCAGAGCGCTCAGGCTGACTGGGAAACCCTTCCTGCGGCCCTGGGCCCGGGAGGTGGATTATCTGGTTTACGGGGAAAGTGGATATGATGTAGTGTGGGTGAATTTGGTCATATTTACATATTTCCAGGGGAAAAACAAATATTGAGCTTAGGGAATAAACAGTTACCGCAAAGACAGGCTGAACTTCCTCGGGTTGTGTCCCTTCCAACGCGCTGGGACGGCGCAGCAGCAGTTTGCGGCGCTGCGATCCGTCGCGGAGCTGCCAGGGAGCCCCGGCGCCGCGGGGGCGATCCCCTCTGCCGGCACACGGAGCAGCTCTGCGCTGGCACGGTCCCTCCGGCGCGGCTGCGATACGGTGGGCGGTAATCGGTTTTGTAACGAGTCATTACTTTAACTTGCTGCTTTACCGCCGCGTTGGCGTGTGGCGCGGAGTGGTGAGGGAGCAGCGGGTGATGGATGCGAGGAGCCGAGGGAACAGAAACGCCTGTCCCGGTGCACGTGGGAGCATCAGCCCGGGCCCAGCACGAGCGCCCGAGCAGGGAAGGGAACCCCGCGTTTACCCTGCAACAGCTCTACACCCCAAAAATCAGAGTTTTTCAGGTGGAGGCAAACTTCGCACATGGCAGAGTTTAGTTTAATTGTGCGTACAGCAGCGTTCCCGCCTCCCGCGGGGAAGCCAAGGGCAGGCAGGGGAGCCTGCGCCGTGCCGTCAGGCCCGGTGGCATTCACCCGACGGGTGTCTCTTCTTTTCCAGTACTCCCCCCTGCTGAAGAAACTCTACTGCCAGATCGCAAAAACATGTCCCATCCAGATCAAAGTGTCCACCCCGCCGCCCCCGGGCACCATCATCCGCGCCATGCCCGTCTACAAGAAGGCCGAGCACGTCACCGAGGTGGTGAAGCGCTGCCCCAACCACGAGCTCGGCCGCGACTTCAATGACGGTGAGTGCTGCTCTCCCCGCTCTGCCGGGGGCCGCCCCGTCACCGGGGGGGGCCGCGTGTGCCGCCCGGCGCTGCAGCCCTCGCCTGCGCAAGGGCGAGCATCCCCAACGGCCACGTCCTAACGCGGCAGTTTGCCTTGCAGGCCAGTCAGCCCCGGCCAGCCACCTCATCCGGGTGGAAGGCAACAACCTCTCCCAGTACGTGGATGACCCCGTGACGGGAAGGCAGAGCGTGATGGTGCCCTACGAGCCCCCGCAGGTACCCGGGGCGGGGGGGGGGGCAGGACCGGGGCTTGCCTCTAGCTGGGCTGCAGTAGTCCTGCCCGTGCTGAGGGTGAACGTACTGGTGACAGGGCTGCGTGGTGGGAGACACGCTTGTGTCCCGAGCAGGAGTCCTTCTTGCCCTGGCACGTCTAAGGGCACCCCTGCTTGCTCCCCGCATTGGTGGCCGCTGTGTTCGAGCATCCTCAGCTCCCAGCCCTGAGAAGCATCCCAGAGCATCCCGTTCCTGGGAAGCGGGACGCAAAGGGAAATCTCCTCCGATCCCGCCCTGGGGGGCCCCAGGGACCCCACAATCCTTCTACAGTCCCCTCTTCCCAGCTGGGACCGTCCCCACACCCCTCTTTCCCGGTGCTCCCAGGGAAGCATCCCCTCAGAGCTCCCCTGCTCGCCCTGCCACGGCGCCAGCGCCGGGCCAGGAGCCGGGTGGTCCCAGCCTGCCTCCCCCCATCACTCCCTGGGGGTCCCAGCCTGCCCCCCACCACCACTCCCCGCTCAGCGCCTGCTCTCCCCTCCCGGGCAGGTGGGGACCGAGTTCACCACCATCCTGTACAACTTCATGTGCAACAGCAGCTGCGTGGGAGGCATGAACAGGAGGCCCATCCTCATCATCATCACCCTGGAGACCAGAGAGTGAGTGGCTGCGGGAGCGGGGACGGGCGTCCCTCCCCGCTGCGGGAGGGCTGGGGTCCCTCGGGAAGGAATCCTCCCCTGCAGGGAGCACCCCCGGGATGGGGACACGGCAGCCCCCCGCAGCCCCAGCCCGAGGCCGGGGAAAGGCTCCTCTCTGCCCGCTCGGGAAAGGGCTGGCACGGAGGGACCGGGGACTCAGCCCGGCATCGTCTTCTCCCCCCGCAGCGGGAGCCTTCCTCTGCCCCAGGAGCTCCTCTGCCCCAGGACACTGCTGCTGCGGGGGTCCCCGCGCTCAGGGCTGCGGGATCTCGGTGGCTTCCCGAGCCAGCGGAGGGATGGGGAGGCACTTTGCTGCTCTGGTTTCCGAGCGGGACCGTAACGTGCTGGACTGAGCCGCGATGCGCTTCCCGAGCAGAAACAGGGTCACCAACTTCTCTGTCCTCCCAGCGGCCAAGTCCTAGGGAGGAGATCGTTCGAGGGACGGATCTGCGCCTGTCCCGGCAGAGACCGGAAAGCGGATGAAGACCATTACCGAGAGCAGCAAGCCCTGAACGAGAGCGCAGCTAAGAACGGCAACGCCAACAAACGCAGTGAGTGCCTTTGCCGGGAGAGGGAGGGGGCTCAGGGCACCGCTCCTGGCCGGCACCCGCACCCCTTTGCCGCTCAGAGCCACGCCATGCCTCTGCCTCCGCTCCTTTCCCATCGCACCCATCGCACTGTGCTCCAGATGTTCGGGCTCAAATCCACATCCAAGCACGATGCTTTGACTTTTCTCGACTAAATATAAAGGCTCATAAATATGACCCACTCCCTTTTCCCTCCAGAGTGCAGGGAGGGCAGGGCTTTCATGTCCAGATATATTTGTTCTTCATTATTATTACTAACAAAGGGACACCGTCACTGCCAGAACCCCAGGGAACAGCTAGCGCCCTGCATGGCTTGAGCTTAAATCCTGCCGGGAGCCGAGGTGCTGTGTCCTGCCCTCCCGAGGACAGCGCGCTAACGCTCTCCTCTCTCCTTTCCAGCGTTCAAGCAGAGCCCTCAGAGCATCCCAGCGCTGGGGGCCGGCATTAAGAAGCGGAGGCACGGGGAGGAGGAGACGTATTACGTGCCTGTAAGTGTTGGTGAGCTGCACTGCTTGAGAGCTCCGCTCGGGACGGCGGTGGCATTGTCCCCTCTGCAAGAAACGCCTTGGGGATGCGGTGCGGGGCAGGACGGGGTGGCACGGTCTCCTGCAGGGCAGGAGGCACAGGGGCTGAGCAGAGACCCGGAGAACAGAAGCAAAAGCGTCTGTGAATGCACGTGTGCGAGGGAATCCTGGACATAGTGTCCCTGGTCACAGTGACACTGCACCTCGTGCAGCTGGGTGGAAAAACGGGGCCACGAGGAAGGTGGGCAGGTGGGACGGGAGCAGAGCGAAGCCCTGGGCTTGTTCCCTCCTCCAGGTGCGAGGCCGGGAGAACTTCGAGATCCTCATGAAGATAAAGGAGAGCCTGGAGCTGGTGGAGCTGGTCCCGCAGCAGCTGGTTGACTCCTACCGGCAGCAGCAGCAGCAGCTCCTGCAGAGGCAGTGAGTACGGCCCAGAGCATCCCGGAGGGGCTGGTCCGCTGGCTCCCAGCACGTCTGCCCCACACCTCCTACGTAACAAGGGCTGACAGCCGCCGCGGAGCCCCTACCAGTGCAAAGCAGCTGTTCCGTGCGGCGGTCTGCATCGGTGCGGCTGCCTGGAGCCTCGGCGGGGGGGTCTGATGGAGGGCCGAGGGGAGCTCTGGCTCGGGGCAGAGCGGCTCCCTCCCCCCCCCCCGGCGGCGGGCCGGCCGGGCGTCCC